TGGAGATTTGGTGATGTGAAAAGTGAAAGAAACCCTTAAAAATGAAAGGAAATTAGGAAAAAAAGAAGTGATTTGCGTAAATGATGATAATTAAAAAAGAGAAGAAGTTTGAATGTAATGTAATGAAATTATAAAATAGAATGAGACTGATTTTTGAATGATGATGGAATGATGATGGAATGAGGATGGAATGATGATAGAATGATGATGGAATCATGATGGAATGATGATGGAATGATGATAGAATGATGATAGAATGATGATAGAATGATGATGGAATCATGATGGAATCATGATGGAATCATGCTGGAATCATGCTGGAATCATGCTGGAATGATGATCTAATAATGCTGCAATGATGATCTATTGATGCTGGAATGATGAGTTAGATGTAAAGAGTTGTGCATTGTAGTCGTTGTTAAGGGTAAGTTATGAAGTAAAGCTCGAAAAGCTAACAGCAGATTTCCATTTAAACTTTCGTACTTCAAGCTTCGTAGGCATGGGGATACCTGAGGCTAGAGTTGTGTGCTTTTCACCTTTTCAGAAAGAGTCTCTCTTTATAGATGTTCCCCGGGCAACCAAAATGTGCTCCCTTATTGAGATCTTTTCAGTTTTTACCCTTCACCCGTCAAAAGAAGCCCCAATTGTTCGTAGATCTCGAGGGAATATTGAAATTTTGTCGCCAATGTCGTTGAAAATCTCGCCATTTTTAAAAAATGATCTAATTATTTGATTAGAACCTGTTGTTGAAGTGAAAGAAAAGTAAAAAGGATCAAAACTATTCAGAAAATCTTTCAAACTTGATATTAAAGCAATTAGAATGTGTTCCTTTTGATTAAAATGAATCTTTTTGATCACTAAAATGAACCTAGTTTAGAAAGATGCATTTTAGTCAAAGCACGAAATACAAATTACCCAAGAGCGGCACTTCCATTTGCCATGGTGGACACAAATAACTTCCAATAACAAATAACTTTCTGATGGTTGGCAGTAAAACCTTTGCACTACTAACAGCAGAAACAGCAGAAACTAACAGCAGAAACAATGTAGCAGCAGCTTGTCAAAATATGTAACGACGAAGAGCAAAAGGTAAAAAGATTTCTTGCGTTCGTTTAATCAATAGTTTATCTAGCTACGCGAAAAGTTGAATGATCTTCCGCATGTCGCTCTTTCAATTCATTGTTGGGCCTCATTTTCGCATGAGGTATCTAGGACTTTTGCATTATCAGTCCTAGATTTGTTGCATTATCTTGATCTAAAAGATATCAAGATCTACAAGATATCAAGATCAAGATATCAATATCTACAAGATATCAATATCTACAAGATATCAATATCTACAAGATATCAAGATCTACAAGATATCAAGATCAAGATATCAAGCTCTACATAAAGATATCCCGAACGATTACCAGTTCAATTCCAAGCAAGTATTCGATGTTGTATGGATTCATTTTCTTTGAAATAGGGTTTAAATCTTTACTTACATTTTTAAGGGTGCTTTATCAATTCGGCAGTTCTCTTCGATCTCAATTACAGTAAGTACTCGAATTCTAAAAATCAAAGCCTAAAAAACGAATGCCACCGACTAACTGGAGATCTCTCGGCCAATTCAGCTGTCATAGAACTGTCGATGGAATGTACCTATCGGCAAGATTAAAGCTTTGAAAGCTGAATCTCTTTTGCTCTCTGAATTCTCAAGTTTCAGATACAATTGTTACTTTGAAGTGATTCGTTATTCTCGGCTTATCGAAAACCTTTGTTTGAATTAGATTTTCAAAGAATACGCGAAGTGTTGAGGTGGGAGAATTTGGCCTCAAAAATTCCCTTTTCCCGCATCAATTAAAGGTTTTGAACGCAAGAAACCGGTAATTTGCTGTGCTGCTTTTTTTAATGTCTTTTTAGATTGTCTCCAAATTTTTGGAGAAAAAAAAACAACTGAATAAGCCACGAAATACAGTGGTGAAAGAAAGTCTTAAGCCCCCAAGACTGTTTTTACTTTTGTACACTTTTGGACTTTGTTGTGTTGTGTTTATGTTTTTGTAAAAAAATATATGTACATATGTACACAATATTTGTAAAAACCGGCAGAAAAAAAGTATTGAGCCCCAGTCGAATCGAAAAAAGAAGAATTCAAAATTTTCTTGGCTCATCTCAGGCTTTAATGGTCGCTTGCCTCATTGCCTCATGATCCTCTTTAATGCATCCATTCGTTTCGGCATGCTTGCAAATAATTTCTCGAGCCTCGGCACTGGGTTCGACTTCCAAATTTCTTGTACTTCTTGTACTCCAAAGCTCATCTTTTAAAGTAAATCGATATCCTCGTTTTCCGGGTCCGTTTTCCGTTTTCCGGGTCCGTTTTCCGTTTTCCGGGTCCGTTTTCCGTTTTCCGGGTCCGTTTCTTTTTTTTTCCTTCCGGGTCCGGGTCCACAAATGTTCAATCGGATTGCAATCAGGAGAATATGGCAGTATCTGCATCATCATTGATGCAGAAACACATTGATTGATGGAAAAACATCATTGATGCAAAACGACAGGGAAAGACGCTCAAAATGGTGCCCGGAAACCTTCACTTTCCAGTTCATCATCACTTTGGAAGTTTAGAGTCGCTATTCTACTGGATAGCCGTCGCTATAGCCGCCCAAGCCCCATATTTTTATGAATATAAGATGAGAATATAAGTATGAACACTTTAATCCTTTAATATTGCGGCATAACTAGACCTATCCGTGAATATCTCCTCTCGAGTGTGTTCCTCTTGACTAATGCGTTTTCTAAAATGCACCTATTTGAGAAAAGCACCGTAGTCAGTCAAACCGTTAGTTTTCATCAGATCAATCGAATTTTTAAATCATTGGCTGAGCCTTGTATTTCCCCATCAAATGATACCAAAATTGAGCTGATTGGATGTAAATTGGAAGTTTGACTACGGTGGTTTTCTCAAATAGGTGCATTTTAGAAAACGCGTCAGTCGAAAGGAACACACTCTAATCTCGAGATCCGAGCGAGAGGCTTGAATGAATTTGTGGCAGTTTTTTTGGCAGCGCGGTTCAAATCCAATGTGTTTTTTTTGCGTAGATAACCTCTTTGTGATTAAACAAAGTACCAAAATACAAAACCTACTAAAAAAAATGCCCATTTGCCCATTAGATTTCTATAGAAATCTATAGAAATCTCAACTTTCTATAGAAATTTGTTTTTTTGAAGCAAAAAGTAAAAACAATCTTTTACTTACTTGGCTCAATACTTTTTTCCATCACTATAGCTTTTGTAAGCAAAAAATTTCACAAGTAGCTGACAATGAAACAGAGTTATTCATCGATGAGTCATTTTCTTTACTAAAAATTTAGACTTATAGATAAGTTATCAGCTTTTCGGGTTGCAAAATGTTTCAAAATCTTTTTGAAAGCCTTTTTAGTTTGAAATTTTTGAAAAAGAAATTGAAAAACTGGCAAAATAAGAAATTTTTTTTGTATTTTACCTTCATAAAACTTTCAATTTTCGATCGATCAACTGAATAGCTAATAACTAGCTAATAAATAGCTAATAACTGAATAGCTAATAAATAATAAGTTAATAGCTTTATACCTTTTATAGGCTTTTATTATTTTTTTATTGTTCTCTGCGCTGAGAAAAATTTGAAGTTGGAGAATCGGGACCTAGTCAAAATAGCGCCGCCAAAACAGCGCCGTTCAAAACAGCGCCGCCAAAACAGCGCCGTTCAAAACAGCGCCGCCAAAACAGCGCCGTTCAAAACAGCGCCATTCAAAACAGCGTTCTGATGAGAAGTATAAAAACATTGGGGTTGAAAAATCTAATCGCAGTCTCTTTCAATTTGGCGCTATTTTTGTATGGGCGCTGTTTTTGAACGGGCGCGATTTTTGTATGGGCGCTGTTTTGAACGGCGCTATTTTTGTATGGGCGCTGTTTTGAATGGCGCTGTTTTTGAACGACGCTGTTTTGGCGGCGCTATTTTGACTAGGTCCCGGAGAATCAAATTGAAGTCTGACGTTTCAAAGCTTCAATGTACTTATTGTACTTCGATGTAGCTTTTCAACTTTATCCGCGACTTTTCCGAAAATTTCGCAATCCACTTCACTTTTCAAGGTTTTTCTACCAAAAGTACACAGAAATCCGTCTTTTTTCTTCAATTCCGAAAACAAAAACAGACAAGGCGAGCGCTTTGTGGATAGGATTTCACTTTTTCTCTTTTCTCTTTTTCACGTAACTACGATCCATTCCTTTTCACCGCTCCAATCCCATAAATTCGTTGCATCCGGTGTTGTCTTTGTGCAGAAACAGCTGAAATTGACGTGAAGTTCGTCAATTTCAGCTGTTCGTCTCTTGAGTACCACGATTTATAGTACTTTAATGCAAAGAATGACTTTGTTTACCTAACTCTTATCTCGAAAAGATAGCCATTTTTCCTATAAGATTTGTCGAAGAGGTTGTGTACTCCAATTTATGAAACTTTTCACGCTATTGACTTGAGTTTTTCAACCGATTTTTAACAAAAGTACAGCTTAAACATGGATTTTTGCAAAAATTCTTTACTTTTTCATAAAAACTGTTTGTATTCCCGTATTGGGGTGGGACAAATGCGACCTTTTTTGGCTGGAAAAGGCCTTAGGAAAGGCAGTAGAGCTTCAAAAATGTTATCCTCTAAGGGAATCATATGCGTAGATTCCGAATTTCGACAAATCAGACCTCGCTGGCACGTCTATTTTTGGGCTAAAAGGCAAAAACTGCGGAAAAGCGTTAAGTTACGTAGTTTTTGCCTTTTAGCCTAAATTTGACCTGTCAGCGAGGTCTGATTTGTCGAGATCTGGAATCTACGCATAAGATTCCCGTATGGAAAGATTTTTGAAGCTCTACTGCCTTTCCTAAGGCCTTTTCCAGCGAAAAAGGGCGCATTTGTCCCAGCCCCTCCGTATTGTTTTTCGTTTTTCGTATTGGATTCTTTTTTGTTTCAAAAATAACTGGATTAATTTTTTCAGTGCATGAGTCATTTCCTGGGTGCGCCTCATCATCGCCGAGATTCGCACTCGTCAGATGAAGGCTTTGTCGGTGGATCAAAGCATGGTTAGTTTCTTTTTGGCGTTAAGAATGATGCCAAACGACCCCAAATGATGTTTTTCTGTGGTTTTCGACCATGCTGATTCCGAATATCGACATTTTGGCATATTAGAAAAAAAATTTTGTTTCTAAGCGCTTCGCGCCCCTTTCTTTGTTCTAGTACGAAAAATAAGTGGCGCATTTGCGTCGTTTGCTAACGCCTGAAGGTAGCGGATTATCTAAAGTCTAACTTTTTTGGAAGCTGGTCAAAACAGCGCCACGACAAAAATAGCCCCTCCGCGGTTAAGTTTCTATGTGTTTCTTGTTTTTATTGGATGCAGAATAAAGTTATCTACATTTTGCATACTTTGGGATCACTTAAAACAGAATTGGTGTCGAGAAAAGCTCAGTTAACCTCTTTTTGAGCCCTTTTTCGTTTTTTGGCATTTTCTCATCCCAGATTTGTTCTAAACGGCTCCAAAATATTCAGCAGATAGTTGATTTTTTTCTACATCCAATGAAAATAAGAAACACAAATAAACTTAACCGTAAACGGATTATTTTGGCCGGCGCTGTTTTGACCAGGTCCTGCTTTTTTGGCTTTAAAGACAAGATCTATTTTACTAAGTGTTTCAAATCAAAATCGAGTCTTATGAAAATGTGCTAGAGCTGTACAAAAATTAAACTGTTGCTAGTTTATAACCCGTTTTAATTTTTGTATTTAGATGCAGCCGCTCGTCGGATGTTTCACGTGTTAGCGAGAACGGATCGGCGGTTGGCAAGCGACGCCGGATTGCAAGCTGCCTTGAGGGCGGTTGACAACGACGATACCATCACACAGACACGTGGGTTTTACTTTAACCTACGGCTATTATTCGATAGAATCTTGATAGCACTATAATTTATGAACTAATTTATTTTTATAAATATTTTGTTTAGAATTGATCGAACAGCTACTGCAAACTGCACAAGACGAAAGAGATTTAGCGGAAAGCGGATTGCCGCACGAAGATGGTGAAACGGTAAAGAAACTTGTATATTTGACGCTAAGGCTTCAACTTTTAACGCATACTTTCTCTTATAACTGCTTCACTTTGTTAATTTTTAGATTGACGGTGAAGAAGACTTTGTGGATACGCTAATCGATCATCCCGAGACGTCGACAAGTCAACCAGTTGAAGAAGATGAGAAGAAAGAGCATAAGCATAAACGAAAGGGATATCCGAAAATGGTTTGTGTTTGTTGTAATTCTTTTCCTCTTTTAACAAAACAAAATTTTTTGGTCAATATGCATTCTTTAGGCCAAGAAGAAAATCGAGACGTTTATTGAGTTTGTACTTGCAAAAGTGAACCAACAATGGGTGAGTTTGGCTTTTTATCCAAATAATGATAGTTTTAGGTTCAAATTGCGTACGCCATTTTCCCGTTTCATCAAGTGCAAACACTAATTCTCGTGTGTTTAGTTCAATTCATTAGGTATTTTTTTGTACATAGCTTTTTCATATTCATTTAGCTTACAAACGATTCTTCAAATACTTCCGGTGATTATCGCTTATGGGGCATTTATCTCAATGGCTTATACGACTCTTAAGATGTTTCACAACAAAAGCGTTAAGGTTTGTTTGCATTTAGAATGTTTTATTGATAAAGTTAACGCATGATAGCAAGCAGATTCTTATAATTCAAACTCTTGTTTTAAAGCTTAATCATTTTCAACTTTTTAGAAAGAGAAACGAAGCAAAGAAGTAAAACGACGACTTTTGGAGCTTTTCAACGAAGAACCAAAAGATGTGACTCACCAGGATCCACACGTAAATTTTGAAAAAACCATTCAAAAATCTATATATCCAGGAGTCACTTTTTCTTACGGAGAATTGGGATCCGTATCTCAACTTTGTGCTCGCGTTATTCGTCTTCATTTTGGCAATTGGAGCCGCTGGAAAATTTCTACCGTATTGCAGGTGTGTTGTTTTGTTTAAAATAATAGCTTTAATTTCGAATTTAGTCTCCTCTGCGCAATTGCCACTTTCTTCTCGCTGATGACATTTGTGGCTCTCGCCGAACAACAAGATCATTATGCCGTCTACGCCGTTGTAGCAAATCTCGTTAGTTGGTAAGAAATATTTTTTTTGTTTAAAACTAACTTTTTACTTTAGTCTTCCAACAATTCTCTCGAGAATGAGATTGTCGATCGGTTACTGGCAAATTTGGCGACCAGTTCGAGAGCTTCGTTTTGGTAAGTTGTTGTTTGAAACCTTTGGGCTATTTATTTTGCTTCAGCTTATTTCACAATGTCGATCTCGCTTCCATCCGTGGCTCTTCTCTCAATTCCAGTCGCCTATTTTCTCATGGCTCTTCGGCAAAAGACTTGGTTGGATCGACTGCAAACGATTGTGCCACACCTGGTAAGTGTGTTTGCACATTATCTAGTTAAACTAGCTTTTAGGTTTGCATTATTTGGGCAGATATTGCGATGACACTGTGGATGATTGGATGGCAAGGGTTTACGGTTAGTTTAACACTGATGTCAACAAAGTGTTTTAATTCCGAGTCAAAGAGTCTTCTAGCTAGTGATAACTTTCAGAATTCAAGAACAAACATTTTTCAGAACAAACTTAATACAACTTTTTTTAGTATGTGGACCTTCTGTTGACGGGAAGTGCAGCAATTCTCTTTTCATTGCCGAGTGAATGGTCCCTTGCCACCGGAGTTGTAATTGCCGGAGCCGCTTTTGCTCAAATGCGATCTTTTATTGATTGGGTATGTGTAAGCTGTCCTAAAATTTACCATAAGCGTATAAACTTAATGCTTTATAGCATTTTTTAATCTAATTTACTTAATCTAGTAAATATCCAAATTTAGAAAAGCGTCGTGAAAGCTGTGGTGACGTCGTGCGTGCTCGCCTCTCCGTTTATCGCTGCAAAGATTTTCTCGTGGCTTTCGAAGTTGTATCAAGTGCAAGGTTGTTCTTAATGGTCTTTCCTTGAAAATTATTCTTTTAGTCTTTCCCGATGATTCAAAGAAACGTCGCTGGGTGCTTGCAATGGCATATCTTTTATCTCTTCTTGTTACGATCTCGTTTTTGTACCAAGGACAACTCTCTTTCGATCCAAAAGTTGATTTGACTAATATGACATGGTATGTTTGACAAAATTAATAACACCATTACTACCTTCGGAAACATATTAATCATTTTTGTTTAGGTTGCAATTCGAGAAACATTGTGCTCCCACCAGCGCTAATCAAGTGATGAGTCAAATTGAATGTTCACAGCTCAAAGGTTTGCAAAATACGCTTGTGAAATCAAATCCAAAATCTAGGTACCGCGGTGCAATGGAAAGGTGCTGTGCAAAGTGTGCGAGTGGCCACGATAGAGAACGCCTTTGAATCACTCCTCGCTTATGTTCCCGATTCACTTGGACAATCGATTCGATGCTTCTACGATACAAATTCGACTCTCATTTCGCACAATAGTGGAATGACGTGAGTTGCTAGGGATAACACAAATCGCTAACTTGCTTTTAGACCGAATCAATGCTCTTTGACTGCACATAATGTCTACACGTTTGACTTGGATATAGTTGGACCATATGGGGATCGTCTAGTAAGTTTTAATTAGTTGAATTAAGTTTTTGGCTTTAGGTGAGCTCATCGAAGGGCCAATTGCTACTTTCGGCAACACATGCGTTCACGGATATGCTTAAGCTGATCGAGGAAGGTTTGTGCCTGTTTATGTTTACTTAATATTCAAAATAAAGTTGTTCGACACTTGTGTATAGGGTAAAACTATTCTTTGTGCTACTGGTACTGGTACTTTTGTTTTAGGAGACGTGGTGCAATTCGTCGCCTACTTCGACAACTACCCGATCTTTCGTTACCCACCTCGGTTGAAGTTGTTGCAGCTGGAATGCATCCACTGCAAGAAAGTAAAAGAAAGCGAGGATATTCAAGCAAACGAGGAAGAATTTCAGTTCCAAAAGGGCCACAATTCACATCTGCGGATCACCTCGTCGAAGCTCGATCGAACTGGTGTCTGGCACCGGATCTTTGCAGCTTTCAAGTTCTTTTTCCATTTCATTTTTGCTCCATTTATTCGAATTCGCTAAATATTTTTGAGCCCAATTTTGCATTTTTGAGTATTTCTTTTGTTAGATACGTTTTTTACATTTCTTAATCGTTATAGTGCTACCTTTGTTATTCTAGTCATTTTTTTTTGCCTGTCGGAACGAGTATTGTATGCTTTAATTTTCGAGTCTTTTTTCATTTGCCAAGCATAAATTGTTCATTTTGTGGCAAAATGTAAAACTTTTAGAATCGGTAACACTGGATCTGCATGGATGGAACATCCATAAACTCGGTTTTCACAATTCAATAAGTAAACGGTTTGAGGACTTGCCGTGGAAACCTTTTCATTGCAGGAGAGATCTGAATTTTTCGGGGAGAAATACCCGGTGGTCAAGGGCATCCCGGAAGCTCCCGAAAATTTTTAATTTGAAAAGACTTGAATAATCGACCCAACAGCCTCAGGGTATCTCGAACAACGCAATTCTCTGTCTCGACTGTCAAATTGTAGATAGAGTATTTAAAGTATTGTAGGATTTGTATATTCTTCATTACCCCTTGATTTTCGAAAGTTGTTAAAAAACAAATTCGAAGGCTGGATTAGTCAGTCCGGTACAACCGAGAGGAATAGTTTTCATGGAAACACGTACTCTTGGAGAGCCAACTTTTTCTTAATCCCATGCGCTGAGGTGACAGTAGTTGGCACTTGACCTGTCAGTTTCGAAATCACAACAAACAAGCTTTTCCAGCAGTCCACCGAGTTGTGTTAAAACTAGGCACATCGTGTAGGAATGAGCGAGAGCTGCTGAACTTTGAATCAGCATCTCCACAATCAGCATCTCTTTGCTTCTTGTGCCCTAAAGTACGTGGGCATGTAAATGCAATGTAAGTGATTACTGATCAAAAAAAGTAATTTTCGAGTTTTTCTAAAAGACTGACAATGGATCCGAACCAGGGACAAAAAGTTCGGAAACAGATCGCTCCTGAAACGTATGTAACTTTAAAGGGTTCCCTCCTTAGCGTTTTTGTTCACTGAATTGGTTAAAACTCTCAAGATGCTTTTCAAAGATTTCTCAGATGCCGTAATTTTCTTCGAATCACTGTTGACTTACTTGTCGCCAAGTTTTCAAGAGTTAAAACAAAAATGTATTCATTAATATAACGACATAACAAAATCGCGAAAATCGCGAAAAACTAAATGGGGGCAACAAATTACAATTAAAGCAAAGAAAGCATTCTAATTTTCTTGTTTGTGAACGACTTGCTCCTTGACTACCATTTCTTACGAGTTCCATGCTGATGTTGTTCCGCATCTGGAGGACGATTTTGGCCCCAAGAATAATTGCATTGAAGACGACGCCCGTCTATCTAAAAAAATTGTCTTTTGTAAAGTATATTGCCAATACAACATTTAATGTTTCAAGCACCACAACAGTTTTCCGCGCTTTTTTAACTTTTTTAAATTATACGGAACAAAGTATTTTTGCAGACCAAATTTGAAACAAACCTCCATTGAATCCACAATTTTCTCGATTGTACGCTTAGCAGACTCCAGTTCCTCGAAAGTAATGAAAGCGAATCCTCGTGATTGGCCCGTAAAACGATCACGAATCACATTGACCTAAAGTACACAATATGTGGAAGAAGATGATCAATAACCTCTTCAATTGGCCCAAATTCTTTGAAAATTTCGTGTAGCTCCTTAGCCGTACAACTTTTTGGAACATTGAAAACAACAATCTCACTAAAATTTGTTTTTAATAACAAAAGGGAACACTATCACTTTGATGGTTCTCGTAGTTGGCGATCGTGTTGTGTGATAACAGGGCGTGCTGGGTAGCGAGGTGACCTAGACGTGCAAAATTAACTAGTTGCTTCTGACTAATAACTAATTTTCCTGAATGAATTTGAAGATGAAGAAATGAAATTTTTCCATTAGAGAACACACTTCAACTCTTTTGGCTAAATCTTTTCAAAAATTTGTACCTGCTACGTGAGCGTCGAAAATGCCTTGGTGAACGATCGCGTGATGGAGAGCGGCTTTGCTCGCGTTTCTTCTGTTTCTTCTTGTGGCTCTTATGATGTGGCGACTGCGAACACTAAACTTCAAGTTTTTAACTTTTTGCAAAATAAACTCGCCGAACGATCATGTTCTGGAGAACGACTTTGATAATTTTTCTTTTTACGATGGGGCGAATCAACTCTCTAAAACCATGAATCTTGCTAAAAATGCACAATAACTTACTGAATGGTCTCGTGATGGCGATTTATCTTTTCCTTTTTATCTTGCGGTCCTTTTTACCGCGTCGAGAGCAATGAGCCTAAACTGTTTCAATAATCGTAAATTTGACATATGATATGCACATTCGTCTTACGCTCCGGCGAGCGACTATGACTCGACGATTCGCTTCGTTTTCTTTTTAGGTCGTGTGCCTGTAAGAAATCATGATTAAACATTTTGTTGAATATAAACAATAATGGCAACTAAAAGTAAACCTTCTTCTTTGGCGTAGGAGATGGACTCGAGCTTGTCCGCCTGGTTGTTTTTCTTGCGCTCGGATGGCGAACTCGGCTTGCTTTTTGGAGAGCGTGAGCGGCTCCTACTCTCGTTTTTCTTTCTTTTAGCAGATTCGCTTCGTTTCTTCTAAATTTTTCAAATAACGAGCATCAACCAACTCTAACTAGTGAAGTACCAAATTAAATGGTTCCAACCTTTGACTTTTTGGTGCTGAACTGGCCGATGACGAAGTGGATCGAGAAGCCCGCTTGCCGCGATACACCTGTAAACAATTTAAATTTGTTGGCACTTTAAGAACACGCACCCTTGGAGTACTGGGACCAGAGACTGATGATTCGCTTGAAGAACTATCAGTTGAAGTGTCGCTTGAGTAATCGGTTTTTGACGATTTGATCACAGTCCACTTGAGTTTGAAGCTAATCTAAAACCAGCAATACAATAATGATAAACTAGTTGTAACCTTTTTTGGTGTTTCTGGTGGTGTCCTTGTTGGCGGCTCTAACTGCGATTCTGCCGACGAATAGATTGTAGATGGTGTTTTGAAATCGTCATCATCCTTAAAAGAGAATTTAAAGGAAATGTGCCGATGAATACTTTTCCACGATCCGGACTTGATGGCGGAGTAACTGTAGTCCATGAGTGAGCCCTCGCACGACGAGGAGCATCTCCACTTTCCTAAAAACAACCAAAGCATGAAGAAACTTTGCAATAAGCCTTAACTTTTTCCGATGGCATTGAAAGACTTGCATCCCTCATCAATTTTGTCTAAAGAATAAGATAGATGCATCGTGATTGATAAAATATACCAAACAAGCGCGTTTCGGTGGCGACAACGATGGAGTTTTTATCCGAGTGCTGCGTCGCTTCAGTTTTACTTTCTAAAAATTGTATAAATGATAGCTTTGGTTAAAGACTAAAAGTTCAACTCAAACAGCTACTTTTAGTTTTAAACACTAGTTGATTGAATACAAAATGGAGAAAAGATTCACCTTTCGAAGAACGGACGCCGATATTTGAGGCATTGATACTCCTAAGCAATCAGAAAATTTTAAAATTTAAATTTAAAATAAAACTAATCGTCGCCCAAAAGCACCTAAGTCGGGTTTACACTCTTACAAATTTTAGCTTTCAGCATAAAATAATCTTTAAGTCAAGACCATTGTAATTTATAAAGTAATGCAATAGAAATTTGCAAACATTTATCAACAAAATTAACACTAAAAACAAAGGCAAAGGCAACATTAAAATATCAAAGACAACGAACATGCAACAAATTTCATCAACAACAATTTGATGACATTCTAATGTCCAGAGCGACGAGACCTAAAATTACAGATTTCTTTTGGATGCTAAAAACTACCTCTTATATTCATCATCGTTGTCATGGTGGCAATGTTCACAACCATCTGTGTAAGAAACGCGATCACTAAAATTTAAGTGAATCGTTCCTATAGTGTTTTAGATACTTGATGTGATGAACACGACGATCCTGCAATAAATACTTCGAGTTCGATGTGTGGCCAACATTCTCTCCCAAGGCATAGTCGGCCTTAATCATCCGATCGTCAATCTAAACTCATACTGTAAAAGGTTAATCATTTTAAGCCGACTTTCATTCCCTTTGTTGCTTGAAGTGCCTTGTAGCATCGCGCAGATGATTGAAGGTGATGAAAGCAAAGCCGCGTGACATTCCAGTTTCGTAATCAAAGATAATACGAATCTAGACAAAATGGGTAAAAATAAATCAGCTACATGAGCAAACATCTTCAATTGGCCCATGACGTCGATAAATCTCTCGTAAATCGTTCTCACTGACATTATACGGCAAATTGAATAAGCCGATTTGTCTAAATCATTCTATAAGCAAAAAAATAGGTTCAAACGCAACCTGTTTGGTGAGCCCTGGCGTCGTTGGCACAAAGGCGATACAGAATGTTGTCTGAATAAGACATCAACATCAATTCGAATGTTTCCAACAAATTACCTGTTCTCGACTTTTCCAAAAGTATTCCATTGACTCTTCTTTTCAACATATTGAACATAAGGGAGCTGATCTCGCCTCTAAAACAAAGAATTCTTTTAGTATTGATGAAATGAGCTCACCGATGTGTGTGTGAGCAGAAGGCGTTCGTTGAGCAGAAGTCCTGTAGCTCTGAAACAAACAAACATATCGCCATAACTACAATACTGCTACCCTATAGTTCCTTGAATGATCAACTGGAGATGTCCCGTGTCGCGAGCTAGGAAGGTAGACCTAAACTAATAAAGTGTAAGGAAATTGGCAAAAAAACAACCATAAGCGGACTAGTAGAGCGAGAACGATATTTGCGTCGTGGACTTCGAGAACGAGATCTGTGTACACGTGGACTTCGAGAACGAGATCTGTGTTCACGTGGGCTACGAGAACGCGATCTACGCCCACCCTGCAAAAAATCTTTTTATTGCATTAGAAAGTTTCACTCACACGCCATGGAGGAGGAGACGGCGATCCCAAAGAACTACTTGAAACCATTTCGTACTAAAAATTTGACCTTACGTTTTAACCATCTCTGAAAGTCTCTTACCTGTTCTGTAACTGGCGACACACAGAGGGAAGAAATTGTAGAAACATCGCCAAACATCGGAGTCTTGCCTGGCGATTCGGATGATCGCACCTAAAAGCAGACAAGTGTACAAAGCAAAAAGGCTCCTACGCTTAAAGCTGGGCTTATATCCCAGCGTGATGGCTTATATCCCAATGCACTTTGTTGTTTCTAAACCAAGACTTGTAAAAAAAACAACATGAGATCTGTTTACCTCCTCAGAAGATTTCGGTGATGAAGATGGCATTGGTGATTTCCTAGTTCTCCTCTTCTTGAGGGAAGAAGGCTGAATTGCAAAGTAACGTCAAGACTGGCACTTCTATGTACCTTTTCAGAAGATGATGACGATGGGGGCGTGCCGGGTGGAGTCCTTGGTCCTTTCTTCGGCTTGACTCCCTAAAGCAAAGAACATAATTCAGTTTCATTTTGGATTTTCGTAATTTTCTCATACTTAACTAATCCAAGAGTTCAAAAGCGCAACCAAAGCTGCTAATTCACTTTTAACCTCAACTCATTGTAACCTTCCCATCGTAATCTAGAGTCAACAAGCTCAAAAAGCCTACACGTTATCATCTACTGGTCTAGTTCTTCATTTGAATAGGCTCAACTCACTCAACACTAAATTTGCCCAACAATCATGCATTTAAAGAATCAAAACGTTTCTTACCTTTGAGTCGTTGCAAATGATGGGGCTAGAGTGCACCATTTTCTTCTGAAAATAAAAACTATAAAAAACGATTAGAAATTTGAACATTTAAGAGAAAACAGTTAATTATCGCAAACATCTGATCATGATCATTGTTCGTAAAATCGGTGAACAAAAACAAACTGGGGTGCTAGCAAAAGCGCCAAATTATTTGGGCCACGTATCATTTGCGCTTTTCGACACACTTTCCTACCAACTCTGATTGATAATTTATATGTTTTTTCAGTTTTTCTTCGTCGACGATGCTTGCTTTTTTGCCGCCTTCCCCGGGTCTGTTAATGGCATAAGATCGATATAGAGGAAAAAAGCCCAATCGGGAACACAAAAATTACTGTTTTTAGGGTCTGTATAGGTATTTAAACGTTTTTTCTAATTGAAAACAGTGAGGACTAAAATAGTGAAGGAAAAACTGAAAAAAGGTTGGTTAGAAGTTGGGAAAGAGTGATTTGGATCTTTATGGTTATCGGGGGGGGACCACGAGTTCTTGACCAACTTGCGGCTTGTTTTTAAGCACCTTAAACTTGTCAGATCGGAGAGTTTTAATAATATTTAGATAGCTTGGAACATCAGCTTTCAGAAACTAGTTGTTTCATTCAAAAGTTATCAACAAAAACCTATCTAAAATCGGGTTGCAAGTTGGTCAAAAACTCGACCCTCCCCCCTGATAACCGTAAAGGTTCGTGATTTGTTACAGTGATTTTCATAAGCGTAAATTTGACGCAAATGCATTTGGCGTAAAGGATTTTGGCGCAAAAAACGCTTTCGCTAGCACTCCATCAAACGACCACGCAGACAAATGTTTCATAAAAGGCTATTCAAGTCGAAAAGCTTTTTAAGGTTAAAACCTAGCATACTTTTTCGCGCGAGTGTAGTAAAAAAAAGTGAAAAAGGGATTTGAAGTGAAAAATTTTTGCGAGCTTCGAGTTAATATAGCGGTAAAATTAGCTAAATATCCGAAAGCTTAACCGTAATTAATTCGACGGCAGCTGATTAGCTGAATATCTTTTGTCTGTCTAGAAGTTTTCCAAATGTCTCATTTGCCATTATTTTGTTTTTCGCATTTTCGATGCGCGAGTGCTTGTGGTGTTCTCAAATTTTGTCTTTTTCATTTTCATTTTCATTTTCATTTTCATTTGAAATCGATCACTTTTATTGCTCGAAAAGTAATTTCGCGAAAAATATCAAAAGGATGAATGAAGCACAACTTTTTTTTCTGTGAATACAAGAGGAAATTAAAAAAAAATTAAAGCCATTTCTACCCAAAAAATAAAAAAACACTGGGTAGGCTAATTTCCTGGAACTTTTTTTTGCGCAACTGGGTCAACTCGCCATAACTTTCTCCTAAGTGGACCAATCTTTATGGTTTTGGTTTCATTTTGTAGATCTCAATAAGTGCAACAAAATGAAACCAACAATCATAAAGATTCGCGCACCTAGAAGAAAGTTATGGCGAGTTGACCCGTTGCTAGCTAAAAAAATTGCGGAAATTGGCATACCCCCAAAACACCGTCACTCTAGTAGTGGACTCTAGAAAAAGATCCCTAAAATGCACAATAAATACAGTAATCTATAAATTCGAACGAAATATAAGGAAATGGAGAGTGCGGAGTGAGTAGTTGAGCCGTTTTATTTCCAAAGGAAAAACACTAATTCTAGAGAGTTATTTGCCAGTACCGAAGCTTATTTATCGATAAAATTAGTTCAAATTGAAAACGAATACGGTGGAAAAGAGCAAACTTTAGTTTTGTTTCTAGGTTTTCGATTTGACATCAACTTTTCGCTAAGCTACTTTAACTACGCTACTTTAGCTAGTCAAAGATCACCGGTACTTTCTTCCACTCTTTAAAAACTACAAGATCGTTTTGTTATTTTGCAATTTTCGGGGAAGCTTGATTCTTCTGACCGGCGGCGACAAACGAGAAAACGCACAAAACCGCGTAGCAAATTTGATCAGCCTTAAAATGGTGAAACGATTATGAAAAAGAATACTGAAAAATGAATTTTGCTGGGTATAAGTGCAGTCCACAACATCGAAATACAATAAGTAGGAGAAGGTGTATCAAGACATGCAAATGGTTGTGAAAAAAGAAAAATCGTTGTGCTCTTGATACAATATGCCAACAGACTGAGCTCCTTAGATTGTCTGCCTTAGATCAACCGGAATACTGTACCTTTTCTGAGGGGTACACTTTTAGGAAACCCAAGAGGAACACAAGCTAGTCAATATGCTACTGGACTGATTACCGTATCAAAGAGCACTCTTTAGAAAAAACCCCACAAATGTTAGAGAAATAAAAAGGTGCTTTGTTGCCAAGAAAATGTGTACCAGAACAAGAACCATTCAGTTAAAGTCATTTTAAAATTTTTAAGTTTGATCTTCATTCAATTTACAACAACATGAAGACTTTAAAGATACTGTCTGTCTAATAATGTCTCAATATCCTAGTGATAAAAGTGATTCACAAGGGAAGGCCAACCAGCCATTGAGCCAACTGATTGAGCCAGATTGAGCCAACTGATTGAGCCAGATGGATTGAGCCAGCTGATTGAGCCAGCTGATTGAGCCAGCTGATTGAGCCAGCCAAATGCTATTGGATTGACGCAGATTTTGATGCTGATTCCGAATATATATTCTGTTTTTGCTAAATGACAATCTTCCAGGATTATAAGCGTCTAAAGTTTTGTTGGGATTGGGATCTCTGGTCATTTGGGTCTTAGCGACCTTCCTTGCGGCCATTTGGACCTTAGGGGGCCTCCTTGCGGGTCCGTTTCAGCCGTGGCCGAGTGGTACAGTAGTTCGGTTTCAGAGCGAGATCTCACAAATTCGATCCCCACTTTGAATCTTTGGGGAGTCGAACGTGTGAGGTTTCGCTCCGGAAACGAACGCCGCAACCACTAGGCCACAGCTGCACCGAAACGGATCCGCAAGTGAGGCCGCTAAGACCCTAAACGACTCACGTCTGCAGAGTCCTAACAAAACTTTAGACGCTTATAACTTTGACAGAGTGCTCTTTAAAAAAACGGAATATATTTTCAGAATCAGCATAAAATTCTGCGTCGAATGGTATAGCATTTCGCTCTCAGCCAGTTGTCAATCTTGTTTTCTGTATACTTTTTTCTGGCGTTCTTTGAATTCTAGCTTTCTAGCGTAAGGATTCTTTGATCTTACAGTATCTCTAACGTCTCAAAGGGATGCACTTTAGAAAGGATTCTCCGAATATGGCAAAATGATTGATCGTTCATCAATTAATAATCGTCGATGAGCTTCAGAGCTGATTGAAGAGACGGATTTGCGAGCAATCTCTTCCTCATTTATTCCTGAATCATCAGTCGGTGATGAACGGGGTGATCGGTGTTGATCATCGTGAATATTCTTGAGTGCAAGTTTTACACTGAACACACGGTGCGGACACCATGCTATTGAAGGAGCCTGGAAAAAAAGGAAACACGAATATGCACGAGAAATGGAAGTGATGCTGACGAGATACCGTAAACCTTTGTTAGTAAACAGCTAAGCTAAGCTAAGCTAGGCTACAGTAAGCTAAGCTACAATAATGTAAGCTAAGCTACAGCTAAGCTTAAGCTACAGCTAAAGGTAAGCTACAGCTAAGCTAAGCTACAGCTGAGCTAAGCTACAGCTAAGCTAAGCTACAGCTGAAACTAGCTACAGCTAAGCTAGAGCTGCAGTAACCAGCTAAGGCTAAGCTACAGCTAAGCTAACCTACAGCTAAGCTAAGCTACAGTAACTAGAGTGAAGCTGGACAAAAAACTTGTACTCTAAAAAGTTGGCAACCTGGCTCAGGCTAAGCTCAGCTGCTAGCTAAGCTCAGTAACAGAGAGCTGAGCACAGCTAGCTACTACGCCAATTGCTACATCTAAGTAACTACCTAGCTACAGTAAGAGCTAAACTACATCTAAGCTAAGCTACCATTTTACTTCCGTTTACAATATCTCTTCTTTTGTTAGTATCTCTTCAACTACAGTCCAACTACAAAATCTCTCACAAGCCACAAAACGTGATTCATTCAAATTTCCCATCACAAAACCTACCATTTGTGAGGAAATATCTCCCTCTGCACGAGTTCGTTCTTTTTATGATCTGAAATCTCGAATTCCTTTTGCCTCTTTCTACTACTCACCGAATTCTTCAAGAACAAAACAATTTCCACCGAAAGTATTGCACTTTTTTTATGTTGCCCAACTCGATGAAATGTTGGGCTGCTTTCGAAGAGAATTGCAATTCCATCAATTCGAACCTAAACTTGAGATTTTGTACGTGGTTTTGGCTTCGGAGATCAGATAATTGACGAGAAAATTAAACTAGATAAGCTAGATAAGCTAGATAAGCTAGATAAACTAGATAATCAGACTAGTTAAACTAGATAATTAAACCAGATAAACTAGATAATCAGACTAGATAAACTAGATAATTAAACTAGATAGTCTAGATAATTAAACTAGATAATTAAACTAGTTAGATAATTAGACTAGATAACCTAGATAATTAGACTAGATAATTAAACTAGATAAACTAGATAATTGAACTAGATAAACTAGATAAACAAACTAGATAAACTAGATAAACTAGATAACCTAGATAATCAAATAATCAGATAATCAAATAGTACTTTGATTTCAACACCATCAAATAATCAAACTTGATCAAAAGCCTTTTAAGACAATGTGAAAAGCTTTATTTACTTTTTACTATTTACTTACAGTTGCCTTTATTCCATATGACTCAAAAGAATGACTGAAGCTCAAAAAAAATTCAAATTTGCTTATATTCTTGGGCACAAGACAGCAGAACAATTAGTTGTATCTGATTTGAGAAATGAATGGGAAATATTTCATTGATTTGTGCACCCACTAGAGGCACAGCAATGAACTTTTGACTTTGTTGACCTACAAGAGCACTTTGTATGTGCTCAGAACACTTTGGATGTGTTCAGAACACTTTGTATGTGCTCAGAACACTTTGTATGTGCTCAGAACACTTTGTATGTGTTCAGAACACTTTGGATGTGTTCAGAACACTTTGGATGTGTTCAGAACACTTTGTATGTGCTCAGAACACTTTGCTTCAGTCTATTCAGTCTACATTAGCTGGATTACGGTATTTAGTCTAGATTAAAATGTTCAGAACACTTTGCATTTGTTCAGAGCACTTTCTATCTGTTCTTGAGGTCAACAAAGTCATGGCCTTTGCATGCAATTTTCAATTGGCAATGCACTTCTGATCTATCAGCCTTTCCTTGCCACTCACCTGCATCAATCCCCCCTTGATTTGTCTCTGTATCATGCACGGGGAAACTCCTCCTCCAAGATCCCTTCCTTCAACAGAAACTCGACCTCTTGCCGCTGCTCTTTCCATTGCCGCTTTCATGCAGAGATAAAGCTCTCGACACTGAATTGATTGCTCATTGTACATGTTGATTGTACAAGTTCATTGTACATGTTGATTGTACAGGTTCATTGTACATGTTCATTTTACAGGTTCATTGTACATGTTCATTGTAATCGAACTATAGCAATGCACCGATAGTTTGACTCACTTTTTTGTGTAGAACTTATGCATGTGTACTTTATCCTCATGTCTTCTCCATAAACATAAGACTTTTGTTTTTGGTGAATAGGTCATATTCACCAATCTCTCATACCACCAACGTTCGGTGATCGCGCCAGTGACTGCTCGCAAAACCACTGCATCGTCACAAACCTAAACTAGATTTTTTCAACTCTAACACAAAACAACATCACCATCAAAGTTTACCAAACATAGACAGCAGCTCAGGAAAGTTTCTTGAAGTTATAAGTGCTAGCAATCTAGCTTACAAGCTTACAGTCCTGCTTACAAGCTTACAATCTAGCTTACAAGCTTCCAATCCAGACAAGCTTCCAATCCAGCTTACAAGCTTCCAATCCAGCTTACAAGCTTACAATCTAGTTTACAAGCTACAACCACGTACAAGCTTGCAATCTAGCAATGATCTAGCAAGGATCTAGAAAAGAGCGGCGAGAGGAATCGGACCCCAGGGAGCAAAAAATTTGCGATAGTTTAATAGTCTAACATACTACCCCCAGACCACCGCTACTTTTGTTTCTTTTGTCGTGGCAGCTTTTAAAGGTGAGGTGAGAGCTTGCTCTTGAAAGTCGTGGCAGCCTCTCGCTTGTTAGTTTCAACTCTTGAAACCAGGGCTAAAACTTGTGCTAGGCAAAACGTGTACGCCGCAGGGGCTCGAACCCGCAACCTTTTCCTCACCGGGCAACTGTGCTAACCATTACACCACAACTCACTTGATCTCCCTTACTCCAGAGGGAGTTAACTTCGTCCTACCTCCATAAAGAGCATCATGCCTTGAGCATTTGATCCAGCATAAACTGGTGAACGATTGCTTCTGTACCAAACGACTGCCTAACGGCTTTAAAGGGATCGCATTGCCTTGCTGAAACTTTCTTTTCCATTTTATTTATAGATAATTTCTTTTGTTTGTCATTTGTTAGGTTTGATTTGTTAGGCTTGATTTATTAGGTTTGATTTGTTAGGCTTGAGTTGTTAGGCTTGTTCTTTGCCAACCTGTTGTGGCAACTCATCGAGCAATTGATTGATCGTCTTTGAGCACACCAATCCTATGTGCGCTTTGCCCAATAGTCGCCGAATTTTCTGAAACTCGATAACTTTTCTTGTTTTCTTTCTTTCGTTTACTTGTTGACTCGCTTTTTGTCCCGTTCCACACATCTAAAAAAGTCGAATATTATTTTGTTAGGTTTGTTAGGTTTGATTGAGTGATGAATAAGTTTTTAGACAATGCTAAACGATATCAGTTATGATAGTTGGGGATGATAGTCAGGGATGATAGTCAGGGATGATAGTCAGGGATGATAGTCAGGGATGATAGTCAGGGATGATAGGCAGTCATGATAGGGGATAGGATGGGAAGTAACGATATCTGTCATGCTCCAGTTTTAAGCTATCTTCAGTCACCCACGATACTCAGTTCTTAAGCTGAATATACTTTAAACAGGTAAACATCTAGGAAAACCAAAAACAAGCCATCATATAAGCAGTCAAATTGTGAAGAAGTGTTGCAAGGAGGCGATCTTCTTCCAATTCCAATCGTTTTCGCTCACTTTCCGATAGAGTTGAATAGCTGAATTTGAATTTTTATATTAAAGATTCAGAGAATGTTCACAAAAATCGCTTTAGAAAAATTGATTATTCAAAATATTCTAGCTTGACCTCGACTTGCTCTTTTAAACTCCCCTTTCCCTGGTTTTCCCTAATTTTCTGTTATCGAGTAGTGGTGAGGCAAGTACAGATCAGTAATGTTTTCCTTTCCATTACAGATCAGTAATGCTTTCCTTTCCATTCCAGACAGGCATCTTCCGTTCACTCACCGATCAATCATTTCACTGGGTTCTTGATCCATTCCAATGATATCCCCTTTCTTGTCCAACGACATCATAAAAAGCGTTCCTCCCAGAAAACCATATTTTGCCATAATGGATGTTGATTGGGTACTAGAACGATAATAAAACGAATGAACGAATGATCTTTCACTTACAAATCAAATCCTGATAGATGAAATGTCTTGGTTCAATTGGTGTCACAATCGATCGAGTCGACGGAGTTCCACTGGCAGAAACGGGTAGAGTTGATGGAGCCTACAAAAGGATAAGAATCGTTTTGGTAAAGAATGCAACAAGTTTTGGTTTTGGTTAAGAATGCAACAAGTGGTAAACAAGATGAACAAGATAGCAAGCTACACAACAGAACGCTACAGAAACAGAACAAGCTACACAACATAACAAGCTGAATTCAACATAACAAGCTGCACAACATAACAAGCTGCACAGCATAACAAGCTACACAACATAACAAGCTGCACAGCATAACAAGCTCACAACAGAACAAGCTGCACAACAGAACAAGCTACACAACAGAACAAGCTTGCACAACAACAAGGAATCGAATCACGATTTTACTTAATTCAATCAAACCTTTAATTTCTCTTGTAATGGCCTTGTGATCCACCGGATTCACTGCTGCTTCCTCTCACTAATTTTACTGTTTTCTTGAATGCTTTCCGTCTTGTCGTGGAGGTGGAGGACGAGGTGGCAGAGGTGGAATCGAGGCATCAGATGCTTGAGAAACTGAATAGCAAAGAGATTTTCCGCTGTCTCTAACTAATAGTACTAAATCATCGATAGAATTTCAGCATAAATATATTCCCTCACCATCCATTTGTGGCCTCGCAGGTGATGGTGGTGGGTGCGGATGGGCGACTCCATCTCTTGGTGGAATTGGTGGTGGAGTTGGTTGCGGAATCGTTTGTTTAGGTAATGGATCGTTGCCCGGGATTCCAAATGGTACAACAGCTTGGTTTCTTTTCGGATTGCAATGATTGGAGTGGGTTGAGCGGTGCTCGGGTCCCTGGATCGGTTCTCCATTTGAGAGTTTCCCGATCGGTTTCGGCATCGATCTCATATCGTACGAGGTGGCCGGGGAGTTTTTGGCGAGGCTGAAGAATGATTTATATGTAAATGAATGGAAAAAGAAACCTGTATTGATTGAGATCTTGTACTGATGCAGAAGGAGTTGGTAACTAAAGCAAAAAAGCTTTTAGAAGATGGAAAATCGCGGGACATTGAACTCTATCGATTAGAGTTAATATTTACATATAAACCTTAAGATTTACAGCTAAACCTTAAGATTTACATATAAAACCTTACGATTCACATTCAAACTTGAATTTCAAATACCTGTGAATTCCCTCCACTCGCCGGTGTCATCACTCCATCATCTCGAGACCAAAAATGAGTGTGCGCAATCTCAAGAATATGGAAAACACTCGCCAAACCGTTTGAGCCGGAGTGTTGAAAGAGAGCTGAATACTTCAATAGCTACTTCAATAGCTACTTCAATACCTACTTCATTACCTACTTCATTAGCTACCACACATTGATACCAATAGCTACTTCAACAGCTACTCTTACCATTTAGCTACTTCATTAGCTACTTCAATAGCTACTTCAATAGCTGGCTTCATTAGCTACTTCAATACCTACTTCATTAGCTACTTCAATACTTCATTAGCTTCTTCATTAGCTACTTCAATAGCTACTTTAATAGCTTCTTCATTAGCTACTTCAATACCTACTTCATTAGCTACTTCAATACTTCATTAGCTTCTTCATTAGCTACTTCAATAGCTTCTTCATAAAGGTCTAATGCCAAAATTGTAAAATTATTCACCGATTAGCATCTAGCAAAAAGCATCTAGCAAAAAGGCTACAAAACAAAACCTTTTTTACCTCCTAGGGCACTGTTTCAACATCGAGTTAGCTACAAGACCTAGTGCATCGGATTCTACGCAAAATTCTGAGCAAAACCCAGTTTTAAAATCAACCCAATGAGCTCTTAACCCGTGTAAAAAGATGTTTGAAAATTGGGAGCGAGAATGGATGAAAATTTGAGCAAGCGAAATTTTCCGAACTCGGTGGGATAAACCTTCCCCAGTCGACGGCCGTCGATGGCCCGGTGGTCTAGGGGATAGTGTGCTCGGACTGGGGGCTTTCCCTGCGGGTTCGGATCCTCTTGGAACCAAAGTTTCTGTTTCTTTTGATTTTCTCTCGATTCTTTCTTTTGATTCTGAAATTTCCTGATGAGCAGCAAGGTTTTTTAGTATTTATTGGTTTTTTTATAACCAACCATTAGAATTAGAATGAATTTTGAACCAATTACTAAATAGCAAAGCTAGTAGGGAGAAATCGAAAAGAAATCGGCCTATAGGCTTAGAAATCTTATTTGAGAATTGTTCAAGCTTTTATCCCATTGTACCAGTTTACCATTGTACATTGTACCAATTTCAAAATTTCAATCCCAAAAAAGCCCACCTCAATGCCGGCAAGACACGCCTGTAAAACCTTGACATATCCCTTGTATTGAGCTCGAGTCAATTGCTGAAATTTTCGTTTGTATTTGAGCTTTTCATTTTTCTTCTCTCGTTTTGTCATTTTTTCTTTTACCTGTAGTGATTTGATTTTCTCTCAAAAACTCACAAATTCTTTCACAAATTCCTCTTCGGTTAAACGATTCTCCAATCCGAGATTTAATTTTGAACAGACCAACCTCATGAAGACTTTCATCTTCCATTAGGCGCTGAAAAATTATCAAATGCTTTGTTTTTATTTAAAGAAATATTGGATTGGTGAATTGATGACTGAGAGCTCTAGCTCTTGTTCTTACTCTAGATCTAGCTCTTGTTCTTAGTCTAGATCTAGATCTTGTTCTTACTCTAGATCTAGATCTTGTTCTTACTCTAGATCTGATTCTTTCTTACTCTATGTCTTGTTCTTACTCTAGATCTAGATCTTGTTCTTACTCTAGATCTAGATCTTGTTGTTTCTTCTTACTCTAGATCTAGCTCTTGTTCTTACTCTAGATCTAGCTCTTGTCTTACTCTAGATCTAGCTCTTGTTCTTACTCTAGATCTATTTTTTATTTTAGATCTAGCTCTTGTTCTTACTCTAGATCTAATTGGATTGGTGAATTGAAAACTGCCAGCTAATTGTCATACATCTCAGTTCTCACACTTTCTTCAAAAGAAGCCCATTCTGGTGTACAATGGAAAAGTTGTAGAGAATCAAAAATCAAGCTTATATCCTAATTTTCAGAATGATTCAAAAACTGGTTTTCAAGAAATGCCAAATTTACGTATTTTCACAAAACTTGCATTTTAAGCGAAACTACTAAGTGTATCTTTTTGGAAATTTGGCTATAAGCCTCATTTTTGATTCTCTACAACTTTCTATTGTTACACCAAAATGGGTTTCTTTTGAAGAAAGTGCTCAAACTTTCTCTATCGGACATCCTCCAGTCCTCCATTTTTGAGTCTCACACTTGTCTCGCACACAAACCAAAATCTTACCACGAAAGAGGGATCCGCAAATTGCCTGTAAAATGGGCAGAAGTCGTCAATAATAATGGAAATTTGGAATGATTTATTTGGAATGAATCTGATGGTTTTATGTTGAATAAATTTTAGTTCAAAGTCTGGCAGTTTTCAATGCACCAACTCAATAGAATTCTTCAATTCTTCAATCTCTCCAATCTCTCCAATTCTCCAATTCTTCAATTGGGGTACTTCAACTCTCCAACTCTCCAACTCTCCAACTCTCCAATTCTTCAACTCTTCCACTCTTTAATTCTTCAACTCTTCAACTCTTCCACTCTTCAACTCTTCCACTCTACTCTTCAACTCTTCAATTCTCCATTCTTCAACTCTTCAACTCTTCAACTCTTCAACTCTTCAATTCTTCAACTCTCCTATTCCTTCAATTCCCTTTGAGTTACCTTGAATTTCCGGATAAGCGAACATTCCAATGCCTTGACTCGGCGAGAATCGCATCGCACACCACCTCATGAACGGTTTGTTGATTTTTGCTAAACATTTTGGAGTAATGCGAAACGAAAACGGAATAGTTAGAGGGGGTTTTTTGATCTTAGATCTATCTGAAAGTCCCTTCATAGATATGAATCCTTCCATATCTATCTACCCTCATATTAAAAATAAAATTCAAAACTTTCACTACCTATCCTCCTTGAAAGATCAAGCCTTTAGGAGCCAAAAACGATCATTACATGGGCACTATAAACTACAAAAATATGACCTCTTACACTACAAATGCTTCTAATTTCCCGTAAATCTACCGGATTAACATGATCTATAGCTGAAAAAATAGAGAATCTCAAGAGCTTTCGAATGAAAAAAGCAAACCCAAAAATAGCAATGCTAAAGAAAGTTACAGTGGTTTGTAATGCCGATTTCTAGTCTGAAACTAGCTTCTGCTTTTAGCTAGCTAGCTAACAGCCTAGCTGTTAGCCGGGTTAGCCAGATCAGCCGCTCCCCATTTAGCCATCCCAGTTGTCTATCTTTTCAGCCATACCTTTGTTGATTTGCCGTTTGTGTCGATGTGGGTGTTCCCTGTGTTTTCGTCTTCACTGCGTGCTGGGATTGCTCGATGCGACTCGCCGCTGCAGCCGCCAATGGTTTGACCGTTTTGTCGCGAAGTGCTTGCGCCTGTTTTAGTCCGCCCGTTTCGTCAGCATCTAAATGAATTTATTTCTTCAATTTATCAGTAATCCCTTTTCTTACTTGACTAAAAATATCCGAGCTTTTTCTCGGCTAAACCGTTGAAGCCACTCATGAAGTTTTGACTTGAATCGGTGAGGGATGTGAGCTAAAAGTTTGCAATATTCTTCTAAATCTGAATCTTCTTCTTCTAAATCTTCTAATTCTTCACCTTAAGCTTTCCTTTATTCGATAGAGGGGTTTTCGTGGTCGGTGTATTATTTTCAGTGTTCGCCTCCGATTGTAACGTTTTGCGTCGATTCTGAATCGGTGTTGATTCAGCGTCATCATCTTCGTGATCAAACGAGAAAGCACCCTGAAATCAGCTTTACAAGATAAAGCTTTACAAAATAAAGCTATTTCTAGTAATATTGTATAACTAGCGACTGGGAAGGTCCACGTTTTTCCGCGCAAGCTAAGCTGCGCCCTTTTTACCAATGGCTGCGCTCAAACGGATGGACAGACAAACAGCCAGATAAACAAACAGACAAATAAACAGACGGACAAACAGACTGACTGACTGGCTGGCTGACTGGCTGGCTGGCTGACTGGCTGGCTGGCTGACTGGCTGGCTGGCTGACTGGCTGGCTGACAAGGCAGACTGACTGTCTGAACAGACTGACTGACTGACTGACTGACTGGCTGACTGACGACTGACTGACTGACTGACAAACAGACAAACAGACAGACAGACAGACAGACAAACAGACAAACAAACAAACAAACAAACAAACAGACCTCTCTTCTGCTTTATATAATAGATTCTTAAGACTCACTTTGGCATCAGATTTTAAAGCTAAATTCTCGGCGAGTCTCGCAAAATCGGCTTCACTGTCCAACGCTGAAGCGGATCGTGATGAAGAAGGGGATGAGCTTTAAATGCCATTGATTAGTTTATAGAAAATTGATGAAAATTGTAAGATTGTATTGGATATTGTATAGGAATTGCATAGGAATTGCATAGGAGTTGCATAGGAATTAGAAACTCCGCAGCTGTGCAAGTCAGCTGACAACTGAATCAATCAATTCATAACAATCTTTGTTGTTATGTTATGAAGAATCCGAAGAATGTTATGCTTTTGATTAGATGGTTATGCTTTTTAACTAGATTGTTATGCTTTTAACTTAGCTTAGCTTTGGATTTAGACTTTAATGATTAATAAATCTTCCAAGAGATCAATAAGCCTTCCAAAAGATCAAGAAATCTTCCAAAAGATTAATAAGCCTTCCAAAAAGATCAATAAGCCTTCCAAAAGATCAAGAAATCTTCCAAAACTCACTGTCCACTGCTGACCGAGCTGCCAAAGCTGGCAACGGTTTCTGATGGGGGGGAATCTCGAGATTGAGTGGCTCTTTGTAGACATCATTCACTTCACCCAGTGGTTTTGAGGCAATTGTACGATCTGTAACTAAGAACATCTACCCGGAAAGGAAAAAGGTCGACGGTTCAATCCTCTTTCTTTCTTTCTTTCTTTCCCTTTCGTTCCTTTTTATACAGTCCTCATAAAACAAACCGGTCACTTCATCGGGACTATCAAAAGACAAGATCATCGGATACTCGATGTACTCCCCAGGCCTTTCCTCTCCATCATCGCTCAACTCCTCGTCGGACTCATCCCCCATCACCCTCTCTTCTCCACGTGTCAATTGCGGGGGCTAATGTCGAGTTATCCGGATAGACCTAAACTTTCTCTAGATTGCGGAATTGCTAGCAGAAAGAGTGCAATCTTTTCCTCTTACTCACCATAAAATGTACTGGCATCAACGAGTCGGCAAACCATTTCCTTTATCACCAACTTGTTGCGGTTTGTCGATTCCGTTTTGAAACGCGCACAAAAGTCTCATTTCTCGGGCATAAACACTCTTCGGCAAAGTACTCAACAGCTTGTGTTCTGAAAGGGAAATTGGGAATGATTAAAGAGTTGCAGAAGTGGTTTAACATTGAAATGGATTGGTAGAAGTTGATGCATTGATTTATTGATATCTGAGATCTATTGATATCTTGATATCTATTGTTATCTGAGATCCTGATATCTGATATCCATTGATATCTATTCTTAATATCCATTCTTGATCTCCATTCTTGATTTCTCATCTTTCACCAAGGATAAAGTAAAGTAAAGCAGCCGGCAATTGTCATAGTAAGTCAACACAATCGATTTTGCCCGATTCACCTGCATAAATCCATCACAAATTGCGTGCAATTCGGTCGTGATCTCAGAAATGATTCTGATTGAAGAGCGACAACAGGACGGGGATATAAACGCAAAGGTTCGCGTATGCTCAGAAAAATTCGCGAAGATGTTCGTCGAATTGTAGAATTTTATCTAAAACATTTAGATGTTTAGATTAGATTTAGATCTAGATTTAGATCTAGATCTAGCTCTAGCTCTAGCTCTAGCTCTAGCTCTTAGATCTAAATCTAGATCTAGCTCTAGTCTAGCTCTAGATCTAGATCTAGATCTGGCTCAGCTTTAAACCTAGATCTAAAATCTAAAACTAGATCCAGATCCCCCCTCGACCTAGGCTCAAGAGTCAAACTAGATCTACAGTACTGGACAATGAAATATCATATTTGAAAAAGATCGTCACTTTCGCGTGTCTGTAAATCCCTTGTCTTTTGAGTTTAAACTATTAGTGTTATATATTTTCTAAAGCTCTTTTCAAGGGCTACACAATGGTAATATTAATATTTAGAAATACGGTAAAGACAACGGAGTTACAGACGCGCGAAAGTGACGATCTCTTTCCAAATATGATATTTCATTGTCCAGTAGTGTAGATCTAGATTTAGATCTAATAGGTTGATGCACAAGTGTTTTCGTTTGTTTTCGTACTTCTGTTAAAAAGTAACAAATTCACGAATTAATCTATAGTTTGCTCTATAAAAAAAAGTGTTTTTTTTTGTTGAATTAGCATCTTTTTAAATGAATTTCGGTTCATTTTCAAGCAAATTCGAGAGTGAAAAACGCCTTTTTCGTAAAAATCTATAAAAAACTCTACGGAAAAATTGGCTGAATGA